TGGCCCGGCTCGCCCGGTGAAATACCACGACCACACAGAAGACAGGCGTGAAGTGGAAGCAATTCCGCGTTTCGTCTGATGAGTGTGCGTCCCGGAGGCCTAATTTAGTCCTCTTTCCCTTCCCACCCATTTTCTTATGAGGAAAGCATGGGAAGTGGATGTGGACTTTCCGAATGAGAGGATGCATGGAAAGGGAAAATATTTTCTTTCTGTGCATCCTCTCCTCCGTCGATTAAAGGTAGGCAACGCATATTGCGTATGTCTATGGGCAACGATCACTTCGCTATTTCAGCGATTTCAGGTGGCCGCTCGCTCGTTTGCCACTTTATGATATAAAAAAAAATGTTATGCTACAGCACCTGACGATACAGTGTGTTTTACAGATTAGTTGTTTTTGTAATAAAACAGACATACGTCTATAACATCATTAAACGTTATCATATTATAGCGTGCAAGTAGTACAGGCAATAATTCGGAAGATTTCGTTACAATTAATAAAGCGTCGTAGTATTTAAAACGTAACCGTGTGTTTTCACTGCCGAAACAGTTGCATAAATACTGTTGTCTCTATGTCATCTAAGAGAATCAGAGGATTGTTTTTATACGAGTGTTCTGACAATGTAAACTCGCTTCTACATTATAAATTAGCCAATGTGATGTTATTTGTCGTTTTGTTTGGTACTGTATTCCCTGAAATCAAGTTCCTGTTGATTGGATGGCTAGTTAATATAGACGTGGTTATCTTCCCTTTGACGTTATATATGTAATTTGTTATTATACAATATACAATAAATATATTTATTATGCTTATCAATACATGTACGCAAGCTATCGTTATTTGAACTGAAACATATATCTTTCCACATCTTCATATTTGACTTTAGTTCTCATGTAAGTCAGTAAAGGAGTTTTATATTTGCACAATGAGATACAACATGAAAGCATATTAATTTCATTTTAATGATAACACCAGTTTTAGATAATACACGACGCTAGTGATGGGTCAATAGGTTATCGATACGCCGAGGTCGGTGTGTAACCACAAACATGGATTGCGTGCGTTTTTGTCAAATTAGCGTCAGTATCATCTCTGAGTTTGATCAGAACGGTTATAATTGTCTCTTTGTTTTTCTAATAATTCCTTTAAAATGCCCGATGCATTCGAAAGTGCTTATCCCCTCTCGCCACCTTTAAATCCTAATGATATACGCGCACGCGCAAACTCGTCGTCCAAACGTAAGCCGGTAGTGACGTTCTTGGCTGGCGATGAAGCCGTAGAGATACCCGACAAATCGATAGTCGGTGTCGACAAGCCGTTGTCGAAGAGTGACAGGAGCGAGGTAGAGTTGGACAGCTTTGCAGAGTCCCTGACTACAATGCAGAGTACGTGGTTCGATAAGAGAGATCTTGCGCACAGGTGAGCGATTGCGACATTCATTTGTTTACGGTTGCTAAGCGCCGATAAAAATTACCTTCAAGGTTAAATAGCTATTCATCATGTATTGCGCTATTGACTTACGAGAATTATTTTTTCGTACAACTCAAATATAAGAATTGATTGAAAATATTGAATTTAACTCTGACAGAGGTAGTAGCTATGTGTTTATCTTACGTATGTTAAAAATGCTAAAAGTTTAGATGGATGGATGGAAAGATGGTTGGATGTTTGTTTGAAGGTATCTCCGGAACGGCACAACGGATCTTGATAACATTTTGAACAGATGTAAAACATAGTCTCTAATTAACTAGAACATAGTCGGAAGAATACTTAGTATAGTCATTATGTTTTTTTCTATGCCACGCGGACGGAGACGTGTGCGACAGCTAGTTTTATAATAAATGTTCATGTTCGTTTTGTGTAATGACTAAACGGTCCCGGTTCGATATTTAGATTTTAATATTATTTTTACCACATTTTAATGGAGATTGCATATGGCTAAGAGGCGTTAAGATGGACGAGTGGTGTATTACGTCTGTCGTAAAAAATTTATAAAAGGTTAACGTGGTTTGGACATATTTTAAAGAAACATATACATAGAGTATGGTAAATAATCGTACTTTAATATTATAAAGGCGAATGTTAGGAGGCATGGATGGATGTTTCAAGGTGTGTCTAGAACGGCTGCATGGATCTCGCTTAAATTTGGCATAGATGCAGAACATAGTCTGGAAGAAAACATAGGCTACTTTTTTAAAAGTTTTTTTAGGGTTCCGTACCTCGAAAGGAAAAAAACGGAAACCTTATATGATAACTTTGTTGTCTGTCCGTCTGTCTGCCAAGACTCTTTTTTAATCCCGCGAACACCGAGTCACAGGCGACGGCTAGTTGTGAAATATAATGTTATAAATCTAGTAATACAATTACCTTTGTTTACAACTTTGTATAGCACAAAGACTGATGAAGATTGAATGAGATTTGTTAAACAAACTAAGCTTATCAGTACAAGAACCCGTGTCACTTCCCTTCTTAGAATAGTATTACTAAGTATTCGTTGAGTAGTTGGTCATTCAATGTCGCTGATATGAATTATCACGAACAAATACATTGACTTTCTACTCATGATTTCATAGAAATTATATTCTTTGTACGTCTACAGCTCGAAACTATGAGAACAGAACTTAATGCTTAAATAACATTAACCAAATGATTATAACTTTTCTAATTAGTATAGGTCTTATCCAAAAAACTATCGATGGTTACCCATTAAATTATAAGAAGAATCGTACGTACATTCTACTTATTACTTTGAACTTTCTGTTTGACATTTTTTGGCGTATGATTGTGACGTTACAGATGTTTGTCAATGTCTGGGTTATTAAGCAGTTGACAAAAGGCTGAAAAGCAAAATAGAACCGGTATTGACGATAAGACATGACCTATTTCAAATTCAAAACAATTTTTAAAATGGAATGTCTATAGATTATGTATAACTGCAGGAATATTGTTTATAGATAACAATATAATTTAGACAGGACATGTGTTGTGGTCTATAAAATAAACTAATATATAAATTTGATAATGAGACTAGTCTATGTACGTACTGACGACGCGGCGATCGAATGAATCAGCTGTTTGCAGTCATTCGTTGCTCGTGGGGGAAGTGTAACCGTGGATTTACAATGGCGTTAAATGTTGTCGTGATTAAGTTCGTAATACTAACCTTCGTTCGCGTTGTCATTTTAAACGTTGTTACATGTTTTGTCATTCAAGATGTCCCTTGAAATAAAAGAACATAATATGTTTATTGTAATTTTAAGTGTCTACTATTAAGACTAAGTGTTAAAAGTCAATCATTGTCGTGTCATCTAAGCTCAGTTAGAGGATAACCTAACAAAAAAAATCTTGTATTTCACCACGATATACATCAGTTTGAACGCCAATGACAAAACATATGTCAAACGTGTCGCTTGTGAACGAACAAGTATCGAGTTTTAAAATAAAATAACAGGATGGAATGACAATATCTTGAATATTTTCTATAATCCATGGTATAACGACATTTCGAATGATACGCAGTGAAAACTCACTGTAAAAGAATCGTGAACGGCATCGGCATGCGATGCGGCGAGTGTGCTCAGTCAACGCGGCTGCGTCTTACCGTCAGGACCTGTCTACGTCAGTACGCGTGCTATCTATGACAATCTAGATAACAGTGACTACGTACACGTAAAATAACTTCCGTAAAAACTGTGTTAGCATACCTTCCTAACATTGTTACAAAATCTGAATATATTATGACTACGATGTAAATGTATTTTTTAATTTCGTCGTAGTCAATTTGATTGCGGAGTTAATCGTGATAAGTGCATTTTGTGTTCAATGTTTATTTGGACCATATGTTTGAAATTTTTGTGTTTGAATTCCACTCTATTGACAAACGCGCATTGTTATTGTGAGTCATAACTTAACAATAATATGCTTCTTCATTACAACTGCGCATTGTTAATAATGTTATCGTAAATACATTTTATTACAATAGTAAGAAATAAGGATAAATTAAAAACTAATTCATTTATAATTTTATTTCAAAAAGTGTCATACATTTGAGGATATAGAAAAACTCGATATAATTATTTGAGTTGGTATGCACCAAAGCTAGACACAAATGCTTAATAGAGGAAGCATATTAGCGGTAGTCTGGGGAAATATTATCGATTAGTGAGTTTCCTGGCAGCGCTCCCTCAGCCGCTAGCCCTCCTGCATCTCCGTATTCAATTTCTATATAATTTACTTACACTATATAATAAAGCTAGCAAATTTATATCATTTCAGTTTCTCGTATATCACTGACTTAGTGAACTCAGACTTCTTTGATTGCTTTAAACTGCACTAAGGACTCCTTAGTGATTTGTCTCTGAGTAGCAGTAACAAAGGATAAAGCGTTATGTGTTTCGTGTATTTTAGAGTGGTATATTAACCTTGTCACTGTCAAGGATATTCACCAAAATGTTTCGCACAATTTAGCAACATATACGTTTGTACCAGGGGCGTTCGACACAAAGATTTCTTACATTTACTTCTTCTTTCTTATAGTGTTAATGACATTCCAGTACGTTAAGTTTGTAATTGTTTGAAAATAAATAAAACTTTTTATATAATATTTATGTAAGTGTATCATGAGATATCAAGAGGCAATGGCGAATGGAAAAGCTGAATTATCTGAATACACCTTGTTAAATGGATCTTCGTATGGCAAAGGGGATAGATATACAGCAGCACCGAATGAGTAAGTTGTTTGCTATGTTATTCTTATATCCCCGTATCTTACACCGGTTTATGTTAAGTTTGCCAAAAAAACGACAACATTAATTATTACATAGGGCTACCACGATGGTAGAAAGTTGCGTTTTCCCGACTCGTGTCTTAGGCTAAAATATATACGGAGTTCAAATAATAAATGTTGATTTAAATCAATGACAAATGAAGTAAGCTTTTTTGTTGTCACATTTTAAACTTTGTCAGGAGTAAATGACGTCATTCTAATTAAAAGACGCCTGATTGGAATCTTATTGTGATTATAACAAGGAAAAGTTGTTTTGATGCTGTAAATTGTTGAAGGAAAGTCGTTTATTTATAGAATGTAAAAGTTTCTGTATCGTCACGTTATTTTGGGAATGACTGGAGAACTGTTGCTCGAGGTAAATTGCATTCGCTTGGCATAATCTTGGCGCAGTAAAGTATCGTTGTGCTGTCAAATATTGTCATTACCACTGGCGCCAAGGTTTATAGCTGGATAACCACATGACAAGACTTACTCTCATGCATGTTTACAATCGTTAGCAATATTAAATCGCTACATCGTGAAATACGCGACGAGAATAAGATGTTTATAAACAACTCTCTGAGTATATTTATCCGTTTCGAGTCTTTGTTGCAAAATCATTAAATGTAATGTTGAAATAATAAAAGACAAATGACTCATGTTTAATTTAACCTGAGCTGTATTGTTTTGCGTTTCATTTAATTGTTACCAATCTTACCGTGGGTTTCTGATACCAAAATCTCTGTATAAAAATCGTCATCCTTGTCTTTTATTTTTGATAAAACAGAGATAAAAAATATGTTTTAAACGGGATTTAGAAACCCATGGTTAATCGTAAACATGAATCAGTTTTATAGTGGGTTTCTGAGACCAAAATACCCCCGTTCAAAAAATATTTTTATTACTGTTTTGTCAAAGATAGACAGGGATGATGATATGTTTTATAACGTAAATTTCGATCTCAGAAAACAATGGTTAGTTATATCTGCATTTCGTATTTGTAACAGTATAATTATTTTCTAGGATTACTTCTATCGTATAACTATGGTGTTCCAATTCATGAACGAAAATTAATAATTGTAAATTTAATCAAAGCAAGGAACGTGCAAATCGAACAAATAACATTTGTCACCGTTTGTTGCGTAATACATTTTGCTTAGTTCTTCGTTATATTGCTATTAGCTTGTTAAATGAGAAGTAATTTTCCTGATGTTACATAACATTGGAAAAATTACGAGTGATTTTCTACCTTTTTTTTTTACAAAAATAACCAAGTAAAAAGCAAGTTCTTCAATTTACAATATTTGTCTATGAATGGAGTATAATATATTTCAATGTATTTGCAGTTGTCTTGGTTTATTTGATGTTTATTATAATTAATGAGTGATTTTTTTTATATTTGCGCTTAGCATTGTTCAATTAAATCTTTTATAAAATGGAACCCCTTTAAGCAAATGTTCCAAGTTTCTCTTTACCAACGGCACTACGGATACTTTTACCGATGTAAAGAGGTCGAGTGCGCCTCGGCTCGTGTTGATTTGCATAATTTTCTATTTCATTTCGTAGTCGTCCGTGTTCCCATTATCGTCATACGTCTTGACGTAATCGTTATCTAAATTCGAAGGCAATGGAAACTTATCCAAGTCAAATTAGCACGTCAAATTGTGTTGCGTGTTCGGAAGTGTTTACGGTAACTTCTATTTATAGTGTGCAGTTTAATTTTAATTTTCTAACCGCGTTGTTTTGTAACTAAATCAGTATAATACGATTACAAACCTCATAGTATTGATATCTAGCCGCATATCAAAGTATACGTCTCATATAAATAATTCATTGATTAAAGGTAGCAACGCATATGCAATTGCGTATGTCGATGGGCAACGATCACTTCGCTATTTCAGCTAAAAATAATTCAGCATCTCATTTTTTTAATAATAGCATATAATATTCAAACATGTTCTGTCTAGTATTATGTAAAAAGGCCATATATTCAATTTTATTGTACCATGAAGCTACTTTTTAGTTCATAATTTCCTAAAGTACTCGTAAAGAGTTTATGGTATGCTATTTGCGATTTAACCCTCATTTTAAGACAAGATGGCGAAGATTATTTTAAATTATGTGCGTTATTATATATTGCCTTTATTTTACCACCAAGTTATACCGGATTCGATAACAAGACGTTTGTCTTGTGAGTACTCATGATACTTAAGTGATTGACTCACTGTCCAGTATAAGTGACAATCTCCGGTCGTGTTCTGGGAAATTGCTGTGACCAAATTGATAGGGGTCACATCACTAGCTTCTATGCCGACTCTATTGTTTAATGTTTTGCTTATGTTACTATATAACATCGCCTGATATATTAACATTGTAACTTAATAAAGGTCCTAATTCCAATTCATGGATATAGAATTTTTTTAGGAAATAAAGTATAAAATGTTAGGAATTAGATCTTACTAATATTATAAATTCGAATGTTTAGATGGATGGTTGGACTGATAGATTGATGTTTGTTTGAAGGTATCTCCAGAACGGCTGAACGCATCTCGATGAAATTTGGCATACATATAGAATATAGTCTGGAAGAACATATAGGACACTAATTATGTTTTTTTTTAATTCCGTGTGGATGGAGTCGCGGGCGGTCAGCTAGTTTATTATTTGTATGACAGAGAACCAGATTTGGATATAGTCTATGTAAAATACTATTTTAATAAATGTGGTAATGTTTGAAAAAAATGATGACGTTGAAGATACGAATTTGAACAGCCGTTGACTGGTGAAGTGCGAATTGATATATGTTTTATATTAAATCCTGTTATTTATGCTTTTGAATGTAAGAGCATTTTACTGTCAACATTAAAAATAAAGAGAAGTATCTAAATTTAATATTAGTAAGCGCATCTCGTGTGTGTATCTATTTTTAAACAGATATGTTAATAGAATCAACATCTCTAATAAAAACTGGAATGTACATATAGAAGGTAAAACAAACAAAAGACGAAGTGTCAAATTTAATTTTCTATCCTTTTATTAAATTGTTGTGAGTGTAGGATTTTGATTGTTGAGAGATCGGTTATGAAGGCTGTCTTTGACTTTGGTAAAGTTTCATCTTTTTCACGTGTCAGCATATCTCTAAATTAATAATTTTTGATAGCATAATTAATGTTGTTTTGTCGTTGTATTTTCTTGTACAAGGGCGGGGTCATGTTAAAGTGATTCTTTGAAGTAAAATTGTGGAAAGGCTTACGTTATCTTGTTTTATAATTATTTATACTTTGTGTTTATTTATGAACTTGAGAGTCGGTCGTTTGATTTACGCTTCGATCGAGGCCATTGTGTTAAGATTAATTATGTACAGTCGCGTACATAAATGTTAAATTGCAATATACAATATATAAATAGATTTTATGTTTTAATTTTATCCGTATTTTGTTTCTGTTGTTTAAACAAAAAGGGTGACAGTTAGCATTCTAATTAACTCGGGATGTTATTAATTTGGTTTCATTTTTTATCTTCGTTAAATAATGATGCAAGCATAACTCATACAATGTTTTAATCTTAACCTTCTTAGTAGAGGTTTGGTTCTCAGTATTAGATTTCTTCGAGCTTGCTTATACATTGTTTGAGTTTAAAATAAACATAATTCTTTCATCCGGTCTATGCAGAACAAATAATACTTAGGGGTATTGCAGGCCATAGACATTATGAACCCTAATTACATTTTTTTTAATTTGTCTAGCAACTAGCTGTCGCCCGCGACTCCAACCGCGCGGAATAAATACGTAAGAAGTAGCCTATCTGTTCTTCCAGATTATGTTTTACTTCTATGTCCAATTTCAGCTAGATCTGTTCAGCCGATTCGGTGATACCTTCGAACAAACACCCATCCATCCATCTAACATTCGCATTTATAATATTAGTAAGATTTATGTGGCTATAAAATTATAATCTCGACAAATCAGCGTCGTGTTCCATCATTTTTGAACCCCATTGTAAAAAGTCATAGAGTTATAAGTATAATAAATATAAAATAATGTTTGCTCGAAATAGCGGACGAGGAGATTCCCGTGGGAGACCTCGAGGTTACTCAGCGGCAAACAATACCACATCAACCATAAACAAAGTTTAACAAGTCGTGATTTACGGGCCTTTAATTTAAATCCTTGGCTAGCGAGATGTTTAAAAAAAGGGTCTTGATAGACAGACGGACAACAAAGTAATCCTATAAGGGTTCCGTTTTTTTCCTATTAGATACAGAACTCTAAAAAAGGTTTTCTTTAAAAAAAGTTCGCTCATGTGACGAAAACGGGCTCTTGAATGTAACGCTGGCATAAGATTTATAGACTTGACCTGGAACAAAAAGTCTTGACCCACAATAGGGAGTGGATACGAGTGTATTGTTCTGACTTTACTATGTCTACCTACTTGTATTATATGATAAAATAACTAAAATAATAATTGTATTTATCTAATACTAGCTGTCGCCTGCGAGTCTTTCCGCGGACTAAATAAAACTTAATCAGTAGCCCATGTGTTCTTCCAGACTATGTTCTACTTATGTGCCAAATTTCAGCGTAATCCGTTCAGCTGTCGAGGAGATAACTTCAAACAAACATCCATCCATCCATCTAAACATTCTTATTTATAATATTAGTAAGATTAGTTACATTATGAGACGCCTACGCGTTTATTAAACCCGGTTATGTCGAATACATTAATGTATGTAAGCTCGCATACATTAATACATTACTAAAACTCGTAGGAGTAGGCGTAAATTAAGCAATAAGTAATTGAATAAGAGTCAAAGTATGTCCTTGGGCTATAATTTTAACTGGTTTCTTGTATTTGTTATTTATTAATTTGGTCTATATTTGTGAAGTTCGTGAAAAAAAAGAAAGTATAATAATACACTTTAAGTGTATGACTATCCTTTTATGACTATAACCAGTGCCGGTTAACATTTTTTACCGGCACGAGATCAGATGAGAGCACAATCTTACTCATATTATAAATTCAAATGTTTAGATGGATGGATGTTTGTTAGAAGGTATCTCCAGAACAGCGGCATGGATCTTGCTGAAATTTTGCATATATGTAGAACATAGTCTGGAAGAACACAAATGCTACTTATTAAGTTTTTTTTTAATTCATCGCGGACAGACTCGCTAGCGACTACTAGTGTTGATATAATTTCAATTAATTGCATAATGTAAGTTCATAGAAGAACGCTGAATTCTATACAGAGCACCTATTAATATCTGTCTTTCATTTTGTTACAGAATCTTCGTGAACAGATCACTGCACTTGGAAAATGTAAAGTTTTATGGTTTTGATATGGATTATACATTGGCCGGTGAGGTTTTTTCATGTATTTTTAGTATGAGTTATTTCTTGAACATACATCCACAGTTGAAATACAATCCAAAATTGTTTGTAATATAATTTGAATTTCAATACAATGTGATATCTTGAATTGAAGGGAAAAAATCAAAAGTCATAGACAATTGAATCAGTAAACTTAACCTTGAATTTACACTTCCAAAACACGTATCTATTGTTATTCGGTTTTTTTATTAGCATGTTTATATAAAAGTTTTGACAAAAGAAACCTAAGGTCATGTGTGTTAAAAAGAAATCTTATATAAGACTAGCGGACGCCCGCGACTCGCGAAAAGACTTAGGCTATGTGTTTTTCCAGACTATGTTCTATGTGTATGTCAAATTTCATCGAGATCCGTTCAGCCGTTCTGGAGATACTTTCAAACAAACATCCATCTACCCGTCAATCCATTTAAACATTCGCATTTATAATATTAGTAAGATAGTAATATTTTTTTGTTTTCAGAATACAAATCGCCACAATATGAAACGCTAGGTTTTAATTTAACTAAAGAGAGATTAGTTAATTTGGGATATCCAAGTGAGATTCTAGAATTTGAATACGATCCTTCTTTTCCTGTCAGGTGAGTTTATTGGAACTATTATTTATGTTTTGATTTTTAGGGTTCTATGCATCGAAAAGAAAAAACTGAACCCTTACAGGATTACTTTGTTATTCGTCTGTCTGTCCGTCAAGATCCTTTTTTATTTACTATCGTCTTTAAGAATAATTCTTTAAAACTTAAAAATCATGTATAAAGACAAAATTTTTTATTTATAATTAATTTATTTCGTTGAAAAACCAATTAATAAATTCACATTTTATTCGTAATCAATGGTATGGAAATTACTAAAGTGTCACATTTGAAAATAGTTTTAATAATTTTCAGAAATATTAATCTTATGAAATGAGTTATACTGTATTGGAGAACAAGTGCTGTTATAATTTAAGGTTTAAATCTAATTATGTATGAATATTCTATCACATATATATTCTCCTTTGCAAGTCCTTATTTATATTTTCTTTTAATATTACATATTAACAAGACTTTTTATTATACTAACATTCTGATATTATTTGCAGAGGTCTATGGTTCGACACGTTGTATGGCAACCTTTTAAAAGTAGACGCTTATGGTAACATTCTGGTCTGTGTGCATGGATTTGAATTCTTGAAGCAGTAAGTTATTTGTTATTTTTTTTAAGCCCCACAGATATAAGTTCCTATTTCCACGTAACTGATTTCCGCACGCGGTATTGTCACTGCGCCAGTGGAATTGAGATGTTTCTATACAAAATAAACCACGTATCTATTCATAGTATAAAATGAATCATATCTCTTAAGTAACTAATTTTCGACTAACAGATGTTTTGATTTTATTAAATAATTGAATTTTTTGACTTTATATTTTTTGATTTAAAAAAATGAAATTTTGTTGTTGGCGTGAAAAAATATGTATTTTTTTTTGGGTTGCAGTTTTTTTTTAATTTGTATGTTTTTCCAGTTCCCAAGTGTACGAGCTATATCCAAATAAATTTTTGACACTCGACGAATCTAGAGTGTATGTATTGAATACATTGTTCAATCTGCCAGAGACGTATTTAATAGCGTGTTTAATTGATTTCTTCACAAACTCACCACAATATACAAGGTATGAATTATTATCTTTAAATAATTACAAAATTATATTTATAACTGAACTGTATACTAAAGTATTACTATGAAATTTTTGCACTCAGAGAGAAGACTGGTGTAAGATGTGGAGATTTGGCGATGTCTTTCAAATCAATATTCCAAGATGTCCGGAGCGCGGTAGACTACGTTCACATACATGGAGACCTCAAATCAAAGACCATAGAGAATCTGGACCTCTACCTGAAGAAGGACGAACGTCTTCCAACCTTCCTATCCAGGATTACAGAAAGTGGAGCCAAGTTGTTCTTACTAACAAACAGTGACTACAACTTCACGGACAAAATAATGAATTACTTGTTCGATTTCCCGCATGGCGCACAAGTAAGTTGGCATTTATTACACCTAAACACTTATCTTGATATCCTTGTAATGTTTATACGATGTTTTTTGTTACCTAAATCAAAAAGTCACAAACAGGTTTCGAATTTCATAATTATTATATAATAAAACTCAGCTTCAATCAACATCCCTAAATCACATTTTAGAATATTAATATCATGTTTTAATTTTCGTGTTTATATTTCTATCGTTTGATTACCTCCCTGTACTAAGTTTAGTCATTTTAGGAACATTATAAATGCAGAATAAACATTCTGCCAAAGACTTGGCATACTGGTTACAAAACCTTTGCCTTTTTAATTATTAAAAAAAATAGATGACAAATACTTAAGAGAATTGCGCGGGAAGTGTTGACAACTAAATGTAATCGTGAAAATAGTTGGAATGGTTTTATCTAAAAAAGTGTATAGTTTTAAAAGTATTTTAATAACTAAACAAATGCTCTTTGGCTGCTGTGCATTTTCCATTTGTACAGATAGTGACTTATGCGTATGAACAGGATTAAATTTTCCGAAGTGTTCAAGGTTAGAGTGACAAATATAATCAAAAGTAACAGTTTACGTCTGTGACGTGGGTCAACGGGACATCGTAATTGTCCGTAATGGGCCAATAAACAAGTCCGGGATGTGCCGTAAAATTATTTATAAACTTTTTTTAGGTTTACTGTATAGTGCATTTTTTCTTTGTTCGTATTATTTCTTTGACGTTCTAAGGTCGTTTTAAGCGTCATGCATACATATTCGGATTGGAAAATGAAAGTTACAACCTTCAATTATTTATTGCAGTCTGCAATAGAATCAATACTAGGTTATAGAGTTATATTAAATTCATTCTATGTATTAGTCCTCAAATATGTAAAATATGCGTGCGTCGTTTTCGCCAAAAAAGGGCAAATCTACTCTTAATACAATGCGGAATACAGTCATTATTTCTAATTATGTGGATAAAAACTGATTCAAGTTCAAACTTAGTTTGTAATTTATATATCTTGTTTTAAATTTAAGATCTTTGCAATTATTTATGCATATCAAGGCTAATATTGCATAATTTTCAAGTAAGATCAGGTTTGAAATGGCAATTGGCAAATATTGTTTGTACGCGTCACCGTTGAATCGCGTATACCGCCAGTTTGTGATTTGCCCCGGAAAATCACAGAGTCGACATAATACATATCGAACGAAATTATTTACAAAGTGACGTGATAATTATAACACTTTATAGACGTGAGACTTCGGGCTGTCATTTTTTGTGTATCTAACATGTCGTCATCTCTGTTGTTTATTACATTTGACAAAACAGAGTTAACAATACGTTTTAAACGAAGAATTTGATCTCAGAAACCCACGGTTACTGTAACTTTGATTGAAAGGACACTTGTATTGACATATATTGTTATCCCTTATATACTTTTTGAAAAAAATAGAGACAGCGGTAACTAGTATATCAATATTATATACTCACAGTAAATAAGACTCGTGTGAAATGTCATTATACAATTTGTCTTAATATAACGTCAATTTGTGAATGTTTTTTTTTTAATTTTTTGACAAATTGCCGTGTTCTTGCCATTTACCGGGGTAAATTACAAACGTTCAGCGTACACGATTTGCTGGCGACATACGTTAAAACAGAAAGTTGACTTTGGAATGTGTTTTGATACGAACCGGTTTGACAACAACTGCTTGCTAATTCATAATTTATTCATATCAACCGAATTCTGATACTATGCGAAGATAGTTTTTTTTTAATCTTATAAGTACAAGATAAAAAGTCACCTTATAATATCTATTTCATCATTTATGAGTCAATAGATAAAGATAATTATATAATATGACAATAATTTCATTAATTTATTGATAAATTTTTGTATATTTCAATTATATTTAAAGGCTAATGTAATATTTGATAGAATTAATTAACTATTTATTATTAATACTGACATAATTCATGGTTTACTCTTGGGAGATTGATGCCTAGTAATGAGTTAGTCAACTAATTGCAATTGAGTTTTGCGTTTTTAGTTAGTTAGGGTTGGTAAAAACTACTCTTTTAAATTTAACCAGTTGCCTTGATATTGAGAAAATTAAAAAGATACAGAAAACGCTTTTGTCTTTCACTAGTTTCGGTTTTTGTCCCGAAAAACAAGTGAAATGCATGAAAATACAATCAAAATTACTTATAACAATATCAAACAGACGGGTAATTAGTCGTAGTAACCGTAATCTTGTTATAGTTGGTTTCTGAGATCATAATTTCTGTGTAAAACTTTTCGTCATCCCTTTCATTTGACAAAACAAAAACAAAAATATGTTTTAAGCGGAGTTCCTGGTATCAGAAACCGACGATCAGTCGTGTTCCACTTAAGTTTAACATCCTGTTATTCATTTTTCGTGCAGGCTACTGACCCTCACAGAAACTGGAGGACGTACTTCGATTGGATTGTGGTGGATGCGAAGAAGCCTCTATTCTTTGGCGAAGGCACCACGCTGCGTCAGGTGGACACAAGGACCGGCGCCCTCAAGATGGGATACCACGTTGGTCCGCTGCACGAGGGTCTTGTATACTCCGGAGGTAAATACGTCTTAAAGTTAAAGTTGACACCATTATAAAAAGAACATGCAACCTCTTTTATGTCGGACTAGCTGTCGCCCGCGTCTTTGCCAGCGCGACTTTAAAATAAACATAATTAGTAGCCTACGTGTTCTTCCAGACTATGTATGCAAAATTTCATCGAGATCCATTGAGCCGTTCTGGAGGTACCTTCAAACAAATATCCATTTATGTTTGTAACATTATAAGTAATTTTTAAATATAGTCTGTTTTCAAAGTAACTTTTCGGTAACACTTGTATGAAAACATATTTTCATCTCTCTCACTCTATATGGAGAAAAAGAGATAAGAAATCATGTTCAATTCAAATATACAGCAATAAATGCGACAAACACTGATTGGCATTAAACATAGTCTTCATGTAACCGTTTTTAACAACCGTACCAAATCAGTTTTTTTATTTTTTAGGTTCATGTGACGTATTCACTGAGCTGATCGGTGCTAAAGGCAAGGACGTATTGTACATCGGTGACCATATCTTCGGCGACATCCTGAAATCGAAGAAGATAGGTGGCTGGCGCACCTTCCTCATAGTTCCTGAGCTGGTGCAGGAGTTGCACGTGTGGACTGACAAGTGCCAGCTGTTCGCGCAGCTCCAGAACTTGGATGTGCAACTGGGAGATATGTACAAGTAAGTCATCTCTGTAAATGGACTGGGTTTAAGACGTAGTATTTTCAGATTATTTGATTTTCGCCATTTTGCTGCTGATGGTAGCAGTTTGTAGTGATAGTGTTTATTCTAATAAGAGATATCTGAATATATAGTAGATCGCTGAAGTCTTCAATAGTTGAATAAAAAATAAACCGCGTCCCGGAGGCCTAATTTAGTCCTCTTTCCTTTCCTACTCTTTTTCTCTAATAAGGAAAGGATAGGAAGTGGAAGTGGACATTCCAGATGAGAGGATGCATGGAAAGGGAATATGTTTTCTTTCTGTGCATCCTCTCCTCCGTCGATTAAAGGCAACGCATATACAATTGCGTATGTCTATGGGCAACGGTCACTTCGCTATTTCAACGATTTCAGGTGGCCGCTCGCTCGTTTGCCACCTTATGATATATAAAAAAAAACAATGCTATAAAAGCGAGCGATATCTAACCATTCATTATACAGCTTTTAATGTATTACTTTCGGCTACTTTGAAGTAACATTCCATTAAATCCTACTATAAAACTAAGCACATAATTCATAATTGTATCGCAATATAGCAGAAATAAGAACCTTCAAACAGACTCTTCACACCTCTGAATAGCAAGTAACAAATATTTATCTGACCTTTTAAATCGTTTACAATACACAGAATTAAGACTGGTTATTCAAACATTAAAGTCAAAGTACATAGTAAATATTATGTATTGTAACATATATATGTATACATAACTTAAATAGGAACATTCTTATTTAGATAAAGGAAGATGTTCCTCTATTGAATATTAATACAATTTTACCACACTAAAGACAGGCGTGAAGTGGAAGCAATTCCGCGTGCAGTCTAATGAGTGTGCGTCCCGGAGCCCTAATTTAGTCCTCTTTCCATTCGTAAATACCAAACAAAAGAAAATATTTCGTTAAATATATAGTTTATATATCCATTGAGCTAATTAGATAAATAAACTTAACTCGATTACTTATGGACGTCAATCGTAATAATAAATATTGTCGATGCTTGAACTTTGTTTGATTTATAACGCGCCGGTATCGGGGTCTAATTAATCTTTCTTGTCTTTACACATGTGCTGTTTGTTTGTTGTTAATACACGATTTCAAATGGCATAGTTTTCCATCGGAGACTGTACTTCGCAATAAATTAAAGACATTTGCCTCACTTTATTGCGAATTAAATGTTTATTTTATTTCCAAATAAGTCTCTGAAAATACAACTCCTATGTCACAAAATATTGTATCGCCATGGTGCTTAACATGTTTGTGATCTGATCTCCAGAGACTTGGACTCGAGCACAAAAGAAAAGCCGGACATATCGAAGCTGCGCAGCTCGATCCGTGACGTGACGCACAAGATGGACCTCGCGTACGGCATGCTCGGCTCACTATTCCGCTCCGGATCTAGGCAGACATTCTTCTCCTCACAGGTAACGTTGTTACAATAAATTGAATTCTATGCTACCTTTATTATATTACTGTTATAACCTAAATATTAATTTTACTAAGTTAATGCAAAACATAATACTTATAACGGACACAAATATCTTTTAAACCGAGTAATACATGGAGTATCCGACTCGAGGGACCATAAACATTTTTATGTGTGTTTACTAATTGTGTGTTGTTGTGTGTTGCAGGTGGTGAGGTACGCGGACCTGTACGCGGCCTCCTTCCTCAACTTGATGTACTACCCGTTCTGCTACATGTTCCGCGCGCCCGCCATGCTCATGCCGCACGAGAGCACCGTCGCCCACGAGCAGCGCTTCACCGTCGATACGCCCACCATCGACCGGTAACTGATATACACTTGTGCAATATCGCCCACGTCCAGCGCTTGCGCAATGTCGCCCACGAGATGCGATTGCGCAATGTCGCCCACGAGATGCGATTGCGCAATGTCGCCCAACAGCAGCACTTGCGCAATGTCGCCCACGAGTAGCGCAGTCACTTGCAACTGTCATACATGGCCCCTTATTATATAATCATTAAGAGTACCTTGCACTACATTGTAAACATCCTGCCAAAGTCTAATTATTATAATTTTGAAACAGTTCTAGACACCCGAGCGCCCAGCGTCCCTACCCCGTGCTGGCGGAGGAGACTTCGGAAGAGAATGAAACCCATGATGTTATCGATGTTAAGGTAACAGTTCGGAATGTCCTTTATATGTAAGAGTGAAAGAGAAAGCTGACTCCGTGTAAGAAGAGGTCAAGTAGGACAGGAAAGAGATGGTTGAAGGTTGATTTACAGATAAACAAGTTATGATTATGAGAATACATTAAGATTTATTGCTCCTTTGAATTTTTGTTACAGATGCAAGCATCAGTGCCCCACGTGAGGCCGGAGACCCCGCGACAACTGACGCACACACACGATGATGACTGCTCTGATGATGAGGACGTCTCCAAGACTACCGCCAACAAGGACGCCTAGGCAACATCGCGGCAACACCGGGACAACGCCGGGACATCGCACAGGGCGCATAAGGCTGTGTATAGTGGCATTATACAAACTTCCAAATGAAAACTTAAATATCACTAATATGCTTTACCTAATAAACCATTTCAATGATTATTTAAATTTCTTTGGACTGTAGGTATCCAAAATAGATTTGTTTTAGTAAATGAAAATAATGGCCGCCATGTATGAAAAGTGACGTTTGTTTGTTTACTATTTAAGGTGTTCATTTGGAACGAGATTGATATAATGCCACGCCCTAATATAATATGTACAGTCTGCTCAATTTACTTGTGATGTTTTATGCCAACAAGGGTTTGTAAAGCAATCTAATTTTAGAATATTCAAAAATAACTTTGGTTTAAATAAAACTACACGTAAATGTGTACAAATGCCACAGTCTTGGTCACCGAGCTTAAGTGTAGATTTCTCAAATTAAATCTTCGCTAAACAACTTCCTTAGTGTCCAATTAATGACTGCATGTGATAGTAAATGTTGAAATTTCTAATGTTTGCATAAAATATGACATTTCTAGAACGGACTAAAATACATCGTTGTTAGGTATATAAGGCCTAGATATAACAGTTATAATGTTTTTAAAACGAACCTTATATGGGTTTATTAGTTGTTATTGCTAAAAAAAATAACTAGAACTCGTTTCCGAAGCAAATAGGCGTAACTATACGACTTTTGATTCGTAATAAATCAGTAATTAAGAAATATTTGTCACTTGCCTTCTCTGTCTACTCCCATTTGGTTGTCATGGTTATAAATTAATAGCGTATTAAAATTTGATTTTGCATCATAATTCTAGCTGTTTATCTCAAGATTTCCGAACTCTGTTTACCCTGTAAGGGAAAGTAGTCGTAGTTACAAAATGTTAACTATTTGTACTGTGAAGTTACAATAATTCGATAAAGTCGGTTTCCACTACTGAAATATTTGTACAAAATCGGTAGTGGAAGCCTACTGTATGTTGAAAGTTGAGTTGATTGCTTCTTGAGGCTTTACAATTAATGTTTCTTGTAAACTTGCTTTTCTAAGTCAATTATATTAATGTTTATATTGCTTTACAATATTATTTTTAATGTTCATTGCTTTTAAAAACCAAATGTTTCCTATATACTTTGTTTTATGTGTCTAAATTTTATTTTATGTTGTAATTTCAAGATGGCTGAAAAATTTGCGATGAAATCTCAGAAAAATGTTGCATTTAAGAAACTTAGCAGATTTAAATCTGTTTTTTTTAGTTGCGCGAATGTTATGATTTAAATTCTTAATACGTATGTACATTTGTAGGTACAAAGTATTTTTCATGTTAGCGTTAACGAAAACTATGTGATTATATCGGGAGTGATTTTTATATAATTTTTTTTTATCATATCACACAAAATATTTAATTGTAATGCAAATAAAACGAAATAAAAACAATTAAAATTGTAGTTTGAATATTATTTATATAAATTATTTTAATATTGTTAACGCCTTTTAAAATATTTCGTATCTGTTTCGCTCAGAGAAAATGATTGCTGTATATATTTTTACAGGCGTTTATAAAAGTAAATCTTCCAAGTATTCTTCGAATTCTTCTTCGCGAGTTTTTTCTTCAACTTCCTGGACCCCTGTACCAAATAACTTTTTAATTTATTATATTGCAAACAATTGTTACTTTGAATGGACGAAACTTGTGAAGAAGAATTTTATGTTTTTTTTTTTTTAAGGCAAGAGGAATGGCGATATATTTTTTTACTAGTATAATATTGTTATATCTATGAGTATACATCTGTCGGTAGTAAAACCCACGTTTCTTTTGGTTCTTACCTTTTTTCCAAAGGGATTCGTCCTTTTCTTCAGTTTGCACCGGCTCTTGCGAAGTGCTAGGCTCTGAGGGATCGTCGAAACTTTCTTCACATTCGTTGCCGCTTACCACATCCAACTCATTGGATTTACCTTTCTTTTTTCTCTTTTTCTGGCTCTTTTTCAATCTTTTCACTTCACGCTTTTTCGATTTGTAGTTTAATTTTTCCGAACAGTCTGGACACAAACCTTGAAAAACAGATATGATAATTTATTGTCTGATTATTAAAAAAAACATATTTTATACACTTTTATAAGCTTACGAAGTTTAACAAGGGCATTTTTCTTTTCATTATCCTCGAGGTATGCGAAGTTCACCTCCCAAGACTTGAGGTCCTTGTCGCTGTGGCACTGCTTATTGCCGCACTGGAACTGACCCTTGCCAAGTACCACCTCCCTTTCAACGCGCCAACGCAGCGCTACCTTACAAAATATATCATCTATAAAATCAAATATATAAAAAAAATCGATTACTACTTGTATTAAATAAGCTACATACAGGTGGTCGTACGTGGCGTATTCAACTGAATATTAAATTGGGCAAATAAATTTTGATAATATCTTAAATTTTACAGTCAACCATGTGCCGATTTAAAGTCTTAAAAGAACCTGAAATTATTATAATTCTTATATGACGAAGGTGTTTTTACCGTACTATGTTACAAATGTATTTTTTTCCTTTAAGAAATAAACTCTTGGTTCACCAAGACTGTCTATCCCAAGTACCTTTTGACGTTCAGTGAAACCAATTCAGTTGGCGAGTTCACTGTTATGCAAAAAAGTCGTAGCGGATGGAACGTGTTAAAATATTGGCCAACACAATTAAATTAATATATGAGCTCTATTGATTCACACGTGAGTCTTGTCAATTCTTATAAGGCAATAATATAAACATTTGTCGTTAAGGTCGCGCTAAAGATTCAATTCGTGACCTTTCCAATACACTTATCGCAAACGCGTAACCGTTGTGGTCTTAGAGTCAAGCTGCCTACTTTGATTAACTGTTGGATATTAATTTACATTCTAATTAAGTTATGGACACATATAAAATAAAAAAATACTCACTATTGTAGTTGAAATACGTGTACCATGATCATGAAACACTTCTATTCAATCATATTTTATAATACTATTTTCTTTACAGTACTAATAAGGGACAGATTAAGCATGTATAATAATGAGTAAATATATTAAAATATCTTTCAACCTATCTGAATCCTTTTTCTGGGCTAGCATACAGCTGCTTCCAAAGCAACATAGAAAGTACAAATTATACAATTAATTCCGTGTTAATAAAGGTTTAAATAATTCCCGCTAAGGGAACTACAAAAAGCTTGGTTGTTATTTTCCTTAAGACACAATTGTATTTTGACCTCCATGTTATCTTAATTATGTTTCTCACACATAGAAATTGATACAGCGTTGAACTATTTTGTCTAAAAGAATAAATGGTGTATCCGGTACCGGTGTTAGGGCACGGTTGTAGTCGCCCAGAGCACTGGATAGTAAGGGGCGTCACTGGACTGCGAACCCAAGGTATGGTAAAAAGGGAGCAATGATGAAATCTCGCTCAGGGCACTGGTAACGTTATGAGTGTATTATGATTAGTAACAGTAATTTAAAATGTTGTGATGCAAAATAATAGAACAGTTCTTAATGGAAATATATCTTAGTCGCATGATGTACAACGGAGCTGGGGAAATGAGGCGGTGGTTAATTCCACGCGTAATTCATGTTTTTGTGAACTCGTATTAATAAAGGTTAAGTTCTTACATCAGACTTCATATTGAAACCTAACTTAATATAAAAAAATTGAAATATAAAAACTATGTATTTTATCATGGCAAATTTTAAATAAATTTTTATATAATTTACCCTTATGGTATTTAATAACCTTCTTAAATATTTCCTTTACAAAATATAACCTTACTAGCAATTCAAATCAATTTGAATGGTAACAATTTAAAGCTTTCCGTGTCTAATAAAAGTGAATAGCAAGCGGGAGGCAGATGTGCTCTCACATAACGGCCGGTCCGGGTGAGCGCACAGGGTCTATATTTAGCCTACAAAAAGGCACTATGGTTATTGTTGCGCACCCCAGCATAGCGCACAAAGGAAGGTCTCGCAGGCAAAAAAAAAAGCTTAATCGAATTTCACGAGGGTATCACCCCGACGTAACCTTTTGCTGTAGGGGACCGTTACTGACGCATATCATCTCGAATATCGCATTGTTTGAATGCAAATAGTAACGTATTATTTATTATCGACCGTTATTAACACTAGCACGATTGTAACTCATCTGTAGTTATGATAAAAGTACTGATATCCATACATACGTGATCTATTTTACTAATATTATAACTGCGAATGTTTAGATGGATGTTTGTTTGAAGGTATCTCCAGAACGGCTGCTTGGATCTCGCTGAAATTTGCCATAGATAATTAAGTTTTTTTTTTAATTCCGCGCGGACAGAGTTGCGGTCGACAGTTAGTTTACTATGACTTCGTTTAGAATTTTTAGCATTTAGTAAGTATCCAACTTTGAATATAAATGTTAACTTACTTTATTCTCTTTATACCGGCTTAGATCGCAGATACAGTATTCTTTGAAGAGTTTATCGTAATATTTTTTAGCGAGCTGCTTCTCCCATGTATCGGCAACGTCGTCATCTTCCCACAGAAACTTATGGTTTTCTCTTATCACGTCCAAGTCTGTGCGATCTCTGGACGTGTCTCGTGTCAGACTCGCAGTCGCGCCTTTCTTATTTAAACAATATACATTAACTAAATACTTATGCAATTCGTACGGGTTCAGGTTACGCAACCTGGCCGACATCTTAGCATAACCTAGAACAAAGGGAAAACGAACTTAGTTCAGAAATCAAATAAAACATATTGCAACAAACAACTCTTTAATAAAATCGACAATTACATTTTCTCCATAAAACATTTTTATAAACTGATCTTAAACTAATTGTCATGTTGAGTTCATAACGAGGTGCATTTTCGATAAATAGTGAAAATTGCAGCATTTCCTATTTAGGCAGTAATAAATATAAGGCTTACTTTGTGCTCGTGTTAATATCTACTCTGAATATTATTGTCAGTCTTGTAGATTTTTGTGTATTTTTATTTGGCTCAAATATCCTTAACTCTATAAATGAGTCATGGAGCTAAAACTCTAAATATTTTAAATATAATAAATATATTAAAATGTAATTATTGCCTATTACTAATATATATATAAAACTTGTCATAAAAAATATTGTAGTACATTTACTGACAATTTGATTTTAATATCCAAATTTGGCACTGCCCATAAATACAACTTTGGTTTAATATTCAATAATTTTATATCTAGTTTACTCTATACAATGTTCTATAAAATGTTTTGTATTAAAATATTTCATAAGAGCGAGCAATATTTAAACATTATGTAAAACTGAAAGTAAATATTTGACTTTGTCATTTATTATAACTACATTTCTCCTACATATTACAAGTTTGTGACTAATAAAATATTTGTGATGTTTTGTTCATTAAATTGGACAACACTGATTTTACAATAACTTAACTATGCTTAATTGTTACTAGTTGTTCGAAATGGCTTAACTAAATTCTCATCTGAGACCATTACACAGGGAATAATTTTGGTGCTAAAATACATTGCTAATTAAATAATAATTAAAATAAACACATAAAAGTATTGACTATAGATCCAATTTGGTATAACTAGGTCTACAATTTATAAAGTCTAAGAAATTATTTGGTATTTGTTACAAAATATAGTTAGGCACATAAGAAATTATTATTGCTTTGGTTACAACAGTTTTAAAGTCATTTTTATTACTTATCTAATGTTTGGCAAAAGGACACTTCATTTGGCATCATCTCAATGTATACAAAGTACAAAAATATACATTTATATTAAAGCTCTTTAGAGAAAGCAGGAACAATTATTTGCTTTAGTGTTTAAAGTTCAAAGGCCCCATTTTTTTATCTCAAACAAATACTGGACTACAGCTATTGGAAACTTTGGGCATTTTGACCTAATTCCAAGAAATATATCACTTTATCATATCTAAAAGGCAACTTTGGGTTGAGATATGTGTGACTATACTAAAGCACCTCAAAAGGCAATCACTAACATTACATATATGTATTCCAAACATAGTTTTATGTATAGCATAAATAAAATCCTTAATTTAAAAGCAACTACAGCGACACACCTTGAGTAAACTCACATAACACACCATAATATGACTAAAATATAAACTAGGCAATCAAACTTTTAAATTTGGCATAAAACAATGAAAATCTTTTCATTAGAAATCATATGACTAAATTTTTTTGGCAATTAGAGAATCGGAAACAACAGCACAATGATAATAGTATCATATCCAACATTATGAGTAATACATTTGAAGATGGAGACACAACTTTGTTATTTTATGTCATAAATGCAGAAGTTTGCAGGATGTGATACAATTAACATGAGACAAGAAATTAAGCATCAACTGTCAACCATGTGTTTTTTCATGCTTTTTCATGTTGTCGGAGCGAGTGAAAGCCTTATCGCACACCCCACAATAGTAGGACTTCTGTTTTGTATGCACAGTCATGTGACGTGAGAGTTCACTCTTTGTTACAAACTTCTTCTCACAAACGGTGCAAGCATGTTTACGTACATTCAGATGAAACTTCATATGAATGGAAAGAGAACTCGACTGTGAGAATGCTTTGTGGCAGAGTTCACAAACAAATGGCCTCTCCCCTGTATGCTTCCGGAGATGATTCATGAAGCCCGTCTTTGTGTAATCCTTTTGGCAAAGATGACAGAAGCTAGATTTCGAGTCTAACATTCCTGGAAAGTGACTGTTTATATGCTTTCTTAGCTCCCAATAACTTGGAAACTTTTCCGAACACATGTGACATGGGTATTTCTTCTCTTCGGTGGGTTTTGCGCTACACTCGTGGGCGGAGAGCAACTGCTCACTGGGGAACATTTGATTACACCGACTACAAGTGTGACTAGCCTCTGAGTCTGTCGACAGAGTTACCTCTAGGTAGTTCTCAATCGACAATACATTCCCGTTCGAACTATCCGTGTCATCAATTTGTCCTTGTATCATTTGGTCTATATCTGAGTTATCTTTGGTATCCATTTTCACTAAATAGTCTCTGTAATCTAACGAAACTTTATCCGAATTGTTGTTATCGGGCTCAACGAGATGAAGAACGGGAGACTCGCTTTGTTCTCTGTCGGGCGATGTTTTTTCATTATCAGAGTTTTCAGGCTTGGATGAAATGTTATTGTCCGATTCCCATTCATTTTCAACGATTTCCACATCCGAGTCCGAATCTTCGGCACTAGAAACCGAATTATTGACTAAATGGAACCCAATATCGTCGAATCGTAACACATTCGGAGGTAGTTTAACCCCCACGATAGCCTGGATCGCCTGCCATGAAAGCTCCTGGGGGTTGTTCTGCATATTATATCGCACTACTCTAACCTACAAACGAGTTTTCAGTTGTTACTACGGTAGAATAAAAATACGCTGTAAAATAGTAATGAATAAAACAATAACATTACCTTTTATGTGCTCGATATATACAACTAAGGTTTAAATAAATATGCAGATGACACTTATTTTCTACATCTAAAAATATTATGCTACTGCTACACTGCACTGCACTTTATGGATGCGTCTTTGTCATTGAATTTGAAATGAAATAGACTTTAACACTTCAAAAATATTTAAGCACTGCAGCGCTTGAAAGCTTCAAAGGACGTTAGGGAATTATTTTCGTAATTAATGAATTAATAATCTTGCAGTTTAATGTTTCTCAAATAGGTTTTTATTTTGTGATTTCATATTTGTAAACAAAATTAGTTAATGGGTATTTAATGAGAATTCTTTATTTCAAAGCACTCATTTGAAAATCATTAAGCTACTTTGCGCTTTAATAGTCAAATTCTCACGGAAAAACAAACTGGGCATAGGAAAGTTTTACTTCTTTTTTCAAATGTTTTGTTGTAATCTTTTCTAAGCAATAAAATATGCCTGCAATTCCTATTAAAATAAATCCTTTACAATTTTATTGTTTGTTCAAAAGTAATATTAACCAGGTAAGGATGTTTTAATTACTAAGGATTATCCGTCTTTTATTAAAATGAATATAATAAAAGTAACTGTGTTTTAGGTTGTAGTAGTATTTTTTCACATTCTATTTCACAGTTTTGGAATTAAGGAAAGTTTGGAATCAATTTTTTGTTTCCAGACTCAGTTTTACGTTATCTGTCACATTGAAAATATTCGTTCGATATGCAAGTAAAAATCTTTATTATGTGAGACACAAGGTTCTTATTAACTTAATGTCTCCTGGACACTTGATGTTTGACAGCTTTCAAATTCAAATGTAATTTTTTGATTTGATGTTTGCAAATCGCGGCAAATTTATATCAACGAAACAAATTGCTATATTTGTAAGACAAGCTAGCTATGTACACTTCTTGCTAACGATTTTGACCTATTTTAAAGACTAACAACTTAGCCAATAGGTGTAAATCATAGTTCAACAAATAAAATTATTATGGATTCCCTAAAAGCTCTAGAAGAGTATCTTAAGTCTAAAGACAATGCCGAAAATTTTTTTAGTTCTTCAGAAATTCCTCCTATTTGCAAATCTGAAGCTTGTATGCTGGGCGTCGATGAAGCAGGTCGTGGACCAGTATTGGGTAAATATAAAATGGTTATGTCTGGTATGGTTACGCCAAAATAACTAAGATTGATGAGGACTAACGTCCAGCCATCTATTGCTAAATTTTTTTTTCATCATCTTGTAAAATTTGTGGAAATATAGTCTTATTAAATAGATATGTACTATAAAAATTCACAGATCCAATGCCCCTATACATAAGTTTACATGCTATTTTATTTTATTTTCCACCCAAGCTTATAAGTGTAGTTTGAAGTATTCCTAAGTGCTACAATTTATTGATATATGTAAATATTTGCATTTCAGGACCAATGGTGTATGGTGTGGCTTATTGCCCTTTAAGCCAAAAGAAAATACTTGAATCTTTAGGATGTGCCGACTCCAAAGCTTTAACAGAAGACAAAAGAGATGAGATCTTTACAAAAATGTTGACTGAACAAGAATCAATAGACAATGTTGGCTGGAAAGCTGAAGTTATCTCACCTAAATATATCTCAAACTCTATGTATAGAAGAGCTAAACATTCCTTGAATGAAGTAATGAATAAAAAACATTATTTCCACAATAGAAATAAACTAATTTCTTTGGAGGTTCTTCCTATAGATAAATTTAGTTGTCTTTCTCCACCTACTTTTCTTATAACAAAAGGATGGAAATTAGGGGAAGTGGATTCGACAGACAAGTGAAACAAAGTGAACAGAAGTCACTTATAGGAAATGCAAACAAACAATCTCTTAGGGAATCAAGAAATAGATAAAAAAAATGATATTGCTGTTAAATATATTTCTATGTTTTAAGGTGTCAATGAACTCTGCAATTAGTTTGATACAGATGGTACTAGATGGTGGAGTAAATTTAGCAGAAATTTATGTTGATACTGTTGGTCCTCCTGAAAAATATCAAGCAAAACTATCGGAAATATTTCCCAATATTAAAATTACTGTAAGTATTTTTGTCTATAACTTTAACATTATTTTATTAAATAATTATAAAACTTTAATACAAAACCTATTTGTTCCTAATTATTTTCTGCACGCACTGAATAAAAAAATAATAATTATGTATTCTTGGATTTGGAAACTTTTGCCCTCATGTGTTATTTGTTTTATATTAAAGGTAGCTAAAAAAGCTGACTCCATATATCCGATAGTGTCAGCTGCCAGTATCGTTGCGAAAGTGACTCGTGACCACGCACTCAAAGTTTGGAACTTCAAGGAGGGTCTGGACATGGATCATAGTCAATTTGGTAGTGGATATCCTGGAGGTAAATAATATTAGTACTAAAATTAAAATTAATTAAAATTGAATAGTCTATGAAATAAAAAATAATATGTGTATTTAAGTTGTTTATAAGGAAAATCCAATTATTAAAATTTTTATCTGTCTATCGCGTTAGTGTTCCTGTTTGTTCCGGTTAATCTCAGAAATGGTTAGACCGATTTTGACCGAACTTTATTGGATAGTAGTTTGTGTGTGTAACAGTAACTTATGTACTTTTTTTTTATTTCCGCGTTGACAAAGTCGCGAACTATCGCTAGTATAAATATGTAGTTTATAATAATAATCAACACAATAGAAACAGATCAAAGAAAAGCAATGACTTTTTTATAAGATTAATGCTAGATAGCTTGGAATTAAAACTTTTTTCACTTGCTGCCTGAGACTACTATTCCTATGAGTACTATTTCTACTAGCGATAAGTGGAAAAAGAGTTTTAGTTGTAGATTTTATAGTAGATATAATTCTTTGCTTCTTTCTTAAAAAAACTATTACCTTAATTTTCAGTAATGTAGTATTAAAAATCATAACTTGGTAATTATCTTTTTTACAGATCCATTAACGAAAAAATTTATTCGTGAGCAAATTGATCATGTCTTTGGGTATCCATTGTTAGTTAGATTTAGTTGGTCGACGGCAGAACTGATGCTTCAAGAGAAAGCAGCAACATGTACATTTGAAGATATAGATGAAAGTCCTAATAAAAAAGCTGCTGGTACGAAATCTATAAGCACTTTCTTTTCACCAAAAGACAAAACATCAAGGAAAAGACACAAATTCTTTCAAGAGAGATGTCTCAAAATGACAAATGCCTTTGAATAAACTTAAGACAGATTTGTATTTTTATAAGCATGTATAAATCAAGAATCATGTTTTTATTTTTATTTTAAAGAATAAAATGCATTCCTTATCCATTCTTCTTTTGTTTACTTTACTCATAAAAATAGGTTCAAGAAAACAGGATGCATTTAACGTATATTTGCAATAGATGTTCGTAATTTGTGCTAGGAATAATTGAAATAATTTAAACTATTCGAATCACAATCTGCATTATGTCACTAGAAGTGGCTAAGTTATTTGAAATATTAGCGATCTCTGCTCACGGAGGAAGTGAAAACGCATCGTTGATCAGTAGAAATTACGATTTTAAATGCATTTATGCTGGTGTCGTCTTTGATTTATAAATTGCGCGAATAAATTCATTATGTTGGCAAATTTCCAGTACTGAATTTTTGGTTAGTTGCGAAATCGAACGCTTATCCATTTACATATTAACATCCGTTCGACACGAAACGAGAAAAGCTGATAAGTATCTCCGTAAAGAAATAAGTAATCTAGGATTGTAATCCTTGATTGACTGTAGTCAATTACCTATTATCATTCACTCTTTATTAGTGAATCGTGCCGTTTGACTAACTTTCACTAACAAATGACGATCTATTAAAGGTTTAATTTGATGACAAACGGCTCGTCGTTATGGAGCCCATCGAAGAAGGTGTACCGAAGTCGAAGCGGGCGCGGGTCTCCAAAGTCTATTAGCATGCACGCAGCGCCGCGGTCTACCTACTTACCATGAGCAATGCGGAACGCACTGGGGTCACTTGGAGAATTTAATTGTGTTCCATTATCATATTTAGGTTCTTTTACGGTAAGTCAAAAGTGAAAACTGAATGGGAGTCGTCGCCGTTTGTCATTCGTCACTCGCGATCGATGGAGACAACTTCTTTCGGACGGTAGCTCGAGGATTAACAGCAAAATGGCAGTCGTTCGAATTAGTTTGACGATATTATGTTTGAGTGCGTGTGCGGCCGCGATCGTAGGGCCCATCGCCAACTCTACGAGTAAATCTACGAAGACGGATACATACCTAGACGCCTACTCGAAGTCTCGCGTCGAAGCAGAGAAATCTAAGCAAGGCGTTATTATAATAACTGCAAAGGACGGCGAGAAAAAGATTTCAAATCGCGACGACAGCTATCAATCGGTATACGATTACTCTCCGCCGTATTCCAACAGCGACAACAACGGTTTCAGTTCGTCTGGTTCGAGTTATCCTGATTCTACTACATCAAATAGTTACCTACCTCCTTCTAGTTATGGACCTCCAGTTAAATTCGAGTCGGACATTACGTATAATGCACCTCCGAATACTTACGGTCCACCCGCGTCGAGCTACGGGCCCCCAGCTTCAAGTTACGGGCCACCATCTTCAAGTTACGGACCACCATCATCAAGTTACGGGCCCCCGTCATCGGGCTACGGTCCCCCGGCGCAAGCTTACGGACCACCCGCGACATCGTACGGACCACCATCTCACTCCTACGGTCCTCCGGTTCACAAGCCTCCCCCACCAATTTACGGGCCCCCTCTGAAGCCCTCATACGGTGTACCATATACAGCACCTGGTCTCAGTTTCTTTGATAAATTATCTTTGAAATTGGACATACTGACAATAGCCAAGCTGATGCTGAAATTCCTCATATTCAAGAAAATTGTGACAATGATCGCTGTGGTGTGCATGCTACTCGTTATTCCGAAGCTTATCTCCTTTAAGAAAGATGACGGCGGCAACGGCAACGCCAATGATGAAGATGACCGTCAGTTTGGACACAGTAGAGGTAAATATTTTTAACTATTATTTTTTTAACTTAATATTTGTATCCCTCTTATTATTTTTGATAAAAAAAATATTTTGGTCTCAGAAGCCAACGATTAGACTAATGTAATTTAAGATAAACTCTGAGAATATTTAAGTTGTTAAGTTATTTGTAAAAGACACGTTACAAATTAGTTATTATTTTTGATAGAGAGGACATAAAAATCAAATTTAGTTTGATATTAAATTCGAACCTAGAAATCGTAGAATATACCGGGGAATCCAGAACTTTGAGCTATCCTTTGGTTGAATCTGGATAAAACTAATATCCGTGGTAATAAAGGAATAAATCGTGTGATGATTTTTTTATGTTTTATTTGATAAAAGAATAAAAATAAAGTTAACATTGTATTTAACAGTGGTAGAGTTGACATCAGCGCAGCAGATGTTGGAGCGCGCGCTCGCAGTGTACGCACGTCCGCCATCTTGCGGCGTCACGTGCCGCGTGCGCAGAGTCATCGACGACATATACGAATTCCAACCATATTACAGGTACGCATAAGAATCAGTATTGTATACTTATAGAGTAAACGTGGAGTTACATACGAATTCCAACCTTATTTCTAATATACTTAAAAATTAATTTAAAATGACTTTAAGTAACATGTGCACTTTGTTATAAAAGCTTTAAAACAAACATAACTAAGTTTACTAATAAACTTACACATGTCACGTTTATGAACTATAAAACTTTCATAATATCTTCCAACATCATTGAATAAGAGTACTACCTATCTTAGATTAATAACTTTTTATTGATTACTTTAAAAAAAGACACATTTCAAGACAAGACACAAGAAAACTCTCAAATTCCTTAATATTCTCCGTAAAAAACCTAATAGTTATGTTTCAAAATGCATTGTTTTTTATTTTTCAGAGCGAACACGTCTGAATCCTAGAAGCAAGCGAACGCGTTTAATGCCATTTAATACAAATGTACAAAAAAATGTTAACTTATTAATTTATTTCTTGTATTTATTGAAACCACATTAGTTGTAGGTAAGTTAATAAATAGTCTAATAATTATTTGTTGTTTTCATTTTCACCTTTTACTCCCCTTACCGTGGGTTTCTGATATCAAAATATATGTATAAAACATATCGTCATCTCTTACATTATCTTCGAAAAAAAAACAGGGATAACAATATGTTTTAAACGGGGTTTTTGGTCTTAGAAATTCTCGGCTAAACAATCAGTTTAGTACGTAAAAAAATTTAGTGTCATTGAACATGTTCAAAATGAAAGCAAATTTTCTATATTTTATCTACATTTTAATGCGTATTATGAATATTAAAAGTAAAATACATTAACTAAACAACAGATTATGCAATAATTGTTTTATGTTAGGAACATAGGTTAGGAGTTATTTAAATTGTCTGTTTCCTACAACAATTGCATTTATTACAGCATATGAATGTATTTAATTGTACGCATAGAATTCTAATGTCCGATGTTACATGAACATTTAACGTGCGTACATAAAATTAAGTTAAGTTTCTACTGTTTTAGTGAAACTCAACTTTCCCTCTATCAGTTTTGGGATCAAAGACCGAGACCTCGAAAACAATGCTACACACAGTCCCGTAAGTAACCATCTTTGAATACTAATCACGTTCCATCAATTTTCATACGTCTTTGTTTACTTTTTGTTATACGGGAATTAGGTTACGGTCGGTTTCTGACGCAAAAATCTCTGTATAAAACATATCGTCCCTGTCATTATCTTTTACAAAATTGAGATAACAATATGATTTAAACAGCGATTTTGGTCTCAGAAACCCATGGTCAGAGATATAATTTGCTAAGCTATATTGATTAAGTAGAGACAATTAGATGATTGTGCGAATCAAAATGAAAACAGGATAAGTGCTTTGTCTGAATGTACACGAGGTCAATGATTTAAGGAATGCCGTTTAATTTAGATCAATAAGAGAAGACTTATTCAACGTCACATTGTGTAAAATAAAAAAAAAACAACTGTATTTATTTTTATCTTAATTTATGGTCTTCAATTTTTATTCGTATCTTGGTCCTTCTGTACAATTTCCTTGATAACTCAGTTGAATAATATTACCCATAAGTTTCTCTCCGCTGTAACATCTAAAAAAATGTTTTATCTATTTTTGCAAAGATAATAAGAGTGTTTCGTTATTGAAAACTCACGGAGAACACTAAATGTTTATTCATCCGAAGGACGAGGGCGACAAGGAACCGGTATTCTTGGTGCTCCTTCCATAATTTCTATTATATCCGGAAATAAGAGTTTCTTCTGTGTTAAATGTGGAGCAATTAAATCATCATACATATTAATAAACAATTCATTTGCTGCTTCGTATCGTTTGCAAATAAATTCAGGTGTGGTCACACATACAGCGTTCTGTCCATTATAATCGTAATAATTGTATTGACAAAGTTGATTTCTTAATTCATTTAACAAATCTCTCAGACAGGCGCATTGCCATGGATTTTCACTGAAATCAATATCCTTTAAACTTTTAACATTTGATAACATCGTGGACATTTGATTTGGATTTAAAAATGTTATTCTATTATTAGATATAATCAGTTGCTTTAATGTTGTGTTATCAAATGAATTAGGATGAATATCTCGGAGTAAGTTATGAGAAAGATCAAGTTCATTTAAAGCAGGTATGTTTTGAAATACTCCTAAAGAAAGGTAATTCAATCTGTTATTGTTCAATTTGATTTTCTCAAGTATTTGAAGGTTCACGAATGCATTTCTATGGATATATTCTATACGGTTATTTGACAAATCGAGAGTCTTTAAAAGAACTAATTTATGAAATGTTGCATTTCCAATGGCTGTTATTTCATTGTACGGCAAATCTAATACTAAAAGTTTGCTTAAATCTACCGTTGATAAAAAATCCGGTACATTTTTCAATGAACATTGTTTCATGTGTAGATATTTTAAGCCTTTTACGTTACCCATGAATGTGATTTCATTCATATCATTTCCTGATAAATCTAATATCGCCATATCACATAATATATCATAGTTTAAATTCTTACCGATAAGAGAATTACAAGTCAAATCTAAACTAACCATTTCCCTAGGACTGTAACTTATTAAGCCGGTATCGAAATTTTTGAAATTATTCCCTCCTAAATGTAGATTTCTTAGTTTAGTTCGATTAAATATACCAGCTGGTAGTTCTGTTAATAGATTCTGTGATAGATCTAAATCCTCTAGATGTGTATTCATATCGAATACTCCCAATGGTAAACTTTTTAATTTATTTTCTGATAAATTAAGATCCCAAACCAATTTCGCGTTGAATAGTCCGTCAACATCTATTTGGGTTATTTGACAACGTCTAATAGTAGCTGCAGTATAATCGCCTTCTTTGAATAGATCATCCCTTCTTAATACATTATGACTTAACGTAGAGTAGCATGTTAAACGTCTAATTTTAAATGTCTTTAGACTATCATCATAGAGACATACTACTTTGGAGTCAATAATATTTATCAAAGCACACCAAACGGCTAAAGCCAAGACACGGAAGTGCATTTTCACCTTTTCTGAAACGTAGAAAATTTCAAGTTTATTAAATTGGTTTGTTTATAATTTTTAAAACGTAATTGGATGATCGTCACCAGCTTTTAAGTGAAAAACTTGGCCGTTTGAGTTAAAATTTGATACAGAATTAAAAGTAAAAAAATAGTGTAAACATTAGGCTGGATACAATCGAGAACTTATCAAATTGTGTGAACCATACATCATAAAATTTGTTAACCTTGGAACTTATGATTTGATTATTGATGTTTATGACGTGAATATGAAATTTGAATCGATATGCAAATAAAATATTGATAATTCATAACTTTAAATGTATGTATTTATAAATCACAACACATTTTTAATAATATAATGAATTTAATTACTTACTCGAATTGATTTTTCAATTTATTAATTTAATTTCAGCATAAAGACTTTAGTTTATTTATTTAATCATTATAAATGTAATACACTGTTATTTATCAAACTTGCGAGATCGTACTGACTCTAACTAATACCAATATACATTTAAAGAATAACCCGAGATGATAAGGGCTGTTATAATTATAAACATTTTGTCAGATTGCGCTACGGGTAAATCCGAGCTGTATTAATAAAATATATTTTAAAATTATATTAGTGATAGACGTAACTGTATGTGTAGATGTGTAAAATTGGATAAGGCGATAGGTTAGGACCGAGCCATAGGAAGTCTCTCAAGACATATCCACCCCACTGGACTACTGGCATAAATTATGTTGTCCTAAATTTTACAGTTATTTTGAAAAGAGATGTCGTTTTATTATGAGTAGTGTTCCAACATGCAATTGGTATTATGTCCATCCTTTGGATAATTTAAGCCAATTTAGACAATTGAGAGGTTACGCAGGACACACCCGTATACGATTTTGGAAAGATTATTTCCTGTTTTAAAATGTATCATTTGTTATGTAATGTACTTAAGATTTATGTATGTTTCGTGTGTTAAATAGTTATTATACTTTTATATGTGTGTCAGTTAAGCCAAGAAAGATGTATTATTTTCTTTATTTAGGAGAAGGGGGCAAACGAGCAATGGCTAAAATTATTTGATCCGACGCCCATGGTCATCCGCAACGTCAGAGGTTAAAGGTGACACGATCAAGAAGAGAGTGACTATAGAAGATAGATCAATCTAAAAACATATGTTGTCCCTGTTTTTTAAAAGGGAATGAAAGGGATGGCAATACGTGTTTGATAGTAAACGCTAGTATGTCAAACTTACATTATAACGTCTTCCAAAATGTTTCCTGACGTGAAATAACAAGGTCATTAGAACATGATATAGAAAATTTATTAACACATGGAAGCTTTGCCAAGATCTTGACCTAATAAATACGTTATAAATTATATTCTCTAATAAAAGAATTCAGTTTTTAAAACACTTTGTGACGCCAAGAATGTAGGAAACAACGTATACATTGACACTCTTATCTAGTGTAATTTTAAGAGTTAAAAAATCTAAATTTTGTGCCAAAATTTGAGTTCATTGATCGCTTTACCGAAACAAAAAAAACATGTAAATGTAACATCAAGAATAGCATAGCTTTTTCATACAAAAAATCTGGAATATCAGACTTACACCAAAAATATCACTTTTGATCTTAGATGTCCGTAAAAGCTATTTACATATTGAAACAAACTTATACAGGAAACTTTTTTCTAGCTTATTGTCGAATTAACTATACTTATACAACATAATATGTTTATTAACTTCTATACTCAGAGTTATATCGGTCAATTAAGCAGTCCTTTAGTGAAGATCTCTCACATTAAATCTCGGAGTGCTACAGTAAGAATACCGAATGATATTTTATCATACCAACATCCGTGTCTAGGCAGAAACGGTCGTTGGCAAAACAGCTAGATTAAACAGTTACATCGACAAATACTAGATTGATATAATTGCGATGACCAGTTCTAGCCTGACTGGTATCATCTAGTCAGTGTGAATCTCAGCCCTTATTAAGAGGGACAGTTAAGTCTAGTGGTTCGTTATAGAACTGTGTTTATCATATGCAGATACTTTTTTTAATCGTCTTTTTAAAGAAATTAATATTTTCGATTTAAGTAGCTATTGCCCGCGACTCCGTCGGCGCGGGTTTAAAAAATATATGGTGGCAGATTCTCAGACCTACTTTATATGCAAGTAAAATGTCATAAAAATCGGTCAAGCTATTTCCGAGGAGTATGGTAGTTACCATACCAAGTTAGTTAACTTTGTGACATATGAGTTTTAAATATAAGATTTTTAAATAAAATCTTTGTTGCCTTTTATAAAAGAATCCTTCGAACTACAGTATTTTAGAAGATATCAGCGGTTACAATCAATAGAAGAGTGTACTTGGATATTTGGTGATAGTGAATGTTAGGTTTTTTTGATAGTGGTGCCTAGTTTTCTAGTTTTTGTAACTTATCGTCTGATAATTGAAAGCATTGATATATAATATACATAATAACAACCACTTGGTGACCTACATAGTTAAAAAATATCCTCGATAAGGTTCGAAAGATTGGTAAGTAAGTTTGGTGGTATGTAATAGGCGCCAACATAGGTACAGCAATAAGTCGCACGACAATGACCTTAGCGGAAGCTATTGTCACGCCCGCAGACACGCACAATGCCCCCCCTTCCTTCAGGTGACGTCACAAAAAGACACTGATAGTGACAATTAACACAAGTCCTTTACACAATGGAGAAGGAAACAACATAGAAGTAAATGGAACGGAAAATAGCGGCATTTTCTTTGAAATCATTAACTTTTGAACTAAAAGTCTTACCACTATGGTCACTGTTAACAATTTGATAAGAATGTATCCCGTCAATCTGAAGTATTCCTATTCAGGGCATAGAAGTAATTTCGTTGTATTCATTCTGTATAAATTGAACAGTTTCACCGCAAATATGCGTCTATTACGTTTTTAAAATCCCTTAAAATAAGCATTACTAGCTGTCGACCACGACTCCGTCCGCGCGGAATCAAAAACATTTGCGACAACAGAGGATCTGAAGATGAGTTGCCGGTGTGGAAGGAAGAGATGCTTTAGATATTCCAAGGACCCTAAGTTTTACTATAGTTTTCTAAATCTCCTAAACCTTTAAAAAGTACATTCTGTAACACGACAGAGTATGGCAGAAAAAGTCTCCCGGCTCCCTATTGCATCATTCAATGTTACAGCTTAAAACGATATTAACATCTCTGTGAAAAACGTAATTTACATAATTCACATTAAATTAATACGTAACTATGAAAAACGTGGTCTAAACTCGATGCTCTATTTAACCCATTGTGGCGCTGGGCAGGTCTGATGAGTCAAGTGCAGGAGCGGTCGTCTGGAACGCGCTCACTGCGAGCCCCGACCGTGTGCCTAACACACGTGCACGATATCGCTCTAGTGTGTACGCGCCCTTATATGCGAAACTAATCAACCTATATCGTGTTGATCTATTTGTTCTATTAGTGTTTTTATTTATAGTGATAGTGTGAATATACAAATTATGGCTTTCACTTTAATAGTAGTAAGTACTTATATAAGTTTTTTTTTAAATTTAGTATTAGCACACGTTAAAACAAGACCATATTAAAGTACAGCCAACTAATGTGTAAATATTGAATAGGATTTCGGATAGTGTTTAAGAAAGTTTTATTTAAGAGTAAATATATCTTATTAACATAATATACGACAATGGCTTTGTCTCAAAAATGCTTCTAATTTATCTACGTTACTATAAAATTTTATATTTTTCGAAGAAGTATACTATAACTTTGATTCAATGTAACGAAAATGTTTAAACTACGAGTATTTTTTACAATAATTATAACTTTTATTTATAGAATATGATCTAATTATATTCAGTTAATGTTCTTTACGGATAAAAGCAAAATTTCATATTAAAGAGAAAGGGGCATCCAGTTATTTTTGGTTAAAAGTTTAAAACAATGAAAACCACTTGTTCACTGAAGCGCCAACAACAAAGTTTGCGTACTTACGAAACATTCAGTCATAGAAATACATAGATTGTATTGTGATAAGACATGAAGAATAAAAGATCTTTATTTATATGTACAAGTTTAGTAAAAAATCATGGCCAAATTTAGCAATATAGGTTAGGAAATTATAGAACTTTTATTCTGCCAAGGTACAATGTTTGTATTATGCATTTTTTTTGTAAAAAATGCCTGTATTAAATCGACTTTTGAGATGTTTTTTGACTACAACAATGAAAAAAAAAACAACTATTCTTAGATTTGGTATCAATATAATGCATATTTGTAACTTAAGATTGATAAGTAATAGCGTTTGGGCGAATTAAGAATCGAATACAAAGATTAATCTTTGACAGTTATTTCTACTACGTGTTTTTTGTTTTCTTCTCGCTAGTATTAAGTTTATCGCTTTGTCCATAAACAAATGATGTTTGTGTCAAAGGATTTTAATGAAAATCTTTATTAATTTATGTAGATCGTACAATTTATAGAGTCTCCTTTATTAAATCAAAGAGCTCTTGTCTGTAATCTACCAGGCTTGTTAAATCTCTAAATTAACGCACCGAGATGATTCACGGAACAAATTGAACTAAATGTTCACAGTGACGTTGTAAAAATAAACATCATCTTATCTTTTTCTTATCATTTTTTATCGTACTTACGATTCTATAAAAATTTACCCATGAGTTTTCTTTCATCGTAGTTCGATTTTGTTATTGGTAATTTAGAGAAGTGATTGTAAATCTATATGCATGTAATCTGATTAATTTAAAGTGTTTTTATCTCATTTTATTTGTTACAGTTATGTATTTTATTTATGGTAAAAATAATTGACGAACTTTTACATTGTTGTGAAGATCAACCAAGTGTGTTCACCACCTTTAATATTGTAAATAAGAATGTAAGTTTCTTTCTTTGTTATGATTTCATTTGCATGCTCTCGTCCAGAACATTTCAAGTAGACGAAAAAAGAATTACTTGATGCAATTAATAACAGTGAGTTTCCACTGTCAAAACCCTTGTTTTAAGATATATCATCATCTCTCTCATTCTTATTTAAAAAACAGAGACAAGAATACGTTTTAATAGATGTATTGCGCCGGTGGAATTTCTGTGAGGATAAGTGACTGACAAAGTTCTATATATTGACAAGACAATTAAAAGGTTTGATTTTAAATCTTCTATTAAAGGGAGAATTGTTTTCTTTGGCGCCGCGCCAAACGCGAAGCTTGAATTCCGGCAAGTTCAGAATTAAAAAGAGATTTAGGTCAGTCGCCGTTTGTATGGCGGTCGCTAATTTTGGTACATATTGCCTTGTATTTTCCGCATTTCATTTCATCTATATCTGTCTTTAAGATCGTATTTAAAACCAAAAATAACATTGTTTTTCAAGGGATAGACAAAATCACGGCTTCAACGTTAACGTCTTTACTATTCTAATAAAATATCAAGGCTTAGCTCACTTTTATTTCTAAGTATCGACTAGTTTTAGGCCCGTCGGGGTCCTTCTTCAGGATGAGTTGATTAACATGCTCACGGGCACATAGTAACAAAAGTAGTCGGTGCCTAGATACACGCGAGTTAATCCCAACGTGACCTTTAATTAGTGTAATATAATGTCTCACGAATCTATTTTAATTTGGTATTATTCTCTGCATACTCTTTGACTGTTTGGCACCCATTTCAAAGAGTAAGGTATTCGATTCGTTTCTAGGTTTTCGTAAAGTATTGCAGATTGACTTTTTAAAATTCAATATCGCTTACTATAAATGCATATTTATTAGGGAACAGTTTTTTTTTGTCTCTGTTTTTGTAACAAAAACTCGTGTATAGATGTTGTAAGAACCTGTAGTAGTAGATAAGGTCGGCTCGGGCGGATGCAGAAGGTATCGTGGTAATTCATTTCGGAAGGACGTTATCCAACCGGCCGATGTTAGAAATCGCGATTGACGAACGCATCCGTAAGCAAGCGGCGGAACGAGAAGGTTCATACATAGTGCAATATAAAAGTGTTTTTAGCACAACCACAAGACATTACTTGATTGAAATGCGAATATTCATCACATTACAGTGATATATTTTAGTATTTTTATTATTAATAGCTATGAGTACACATTTGGACAGTCCAGATAAAAATTTTGAGTTTATTGCATCCAGAAAATCTTTGATTTTATGATAAGCAAAACTCATAGAGATTTGTTTTATAATAATCAGTGATGAATACATAGCATAATTTGTTGTGTGAATGCGCGGGCTGGCCCAGTCTATTACCACGATAAGGGAATGAAAAGGACTTACAAATTATGGTATAATTATTTCTAGTCATCTTTTTTATTTAGCGCCTGCAATAATATTAAAGCAAAATATATGAAACGGTATTGGTAGGAGTTACTTAATAAAAGTGGCGCGTTAATTAGCGTTACTAGCTGTTGCCCGCGACTCCATCCGCGCGGATAAAACATAATAAGTATGATCTACCTGTGTGCCAAATTTCATCAAAATCCGTCTAGTCGCTCCTGAAATACCTTCAAACAAACATCCATCCATCTAAACTTTTGCATTTATAATATTACTAAGAATATCGATAATAAATGTAGTAAAGCTCAAAAGTCTGTAGGTTCAATTAAAATGTGTTACTTTAGAAAATATAACGAGGAAAATATTGTAATAATAGCTCATGATTCATTAATGCTTTAGATTTTGGCAACACGTGCTAGCAGACAGTTTTCTTAGAACGATCTTGTAATTAATTGCAGCGAATCTGTTTTTATTGCTATGCTCTGCTTACTTAACACGTGTTCTAGGAATGTTAAAGTAGAATGTAATGCATCAGCGATATGATTTTATCTATCTACATGTGTGTGTTTTAATTGTCTAAACACTTGTATTAAACATGTTGTTTTCCCTTTCATTTGCTTTGAGAAACAAGAGACAAAAATATGTTGTAGTGTAGTTATTTTCGCAGTGGAAACTCGCGGTATCTCAATTGACTTACATCGATTTCTGTACTTGACATATTATTAAACCTTATCAGTATTTACTTGATTGTTTTGTCGTGTTATATTTCTAAACATGAATACCTCTCTAATGTATGGAAATTTTAGATAAAATTGTGACGATTAAATTGATTCTTACCTAATTTAATGTGAAGATACTAAGTATATATGTAAATTTATAATCGATATCAATGTGCCCTATCCATGACCTAAACATCTGTGTAATAAAATATTTATATAACAACTAATCTTTGATGTTTGGCGTTATTCGTATGAAATTTGATATTGGCCATTAAAAATAAAATGCATAGCAAAATTATTGATTTAAAATTAGTAGTTAATTGCTTTTTCTACGCTGATATAATTTTTAAAATCGTTCAAATCTTTTGAAGTATAAAAAGTCTTTGAAAGACATATGAGTTAACTTTAAAATATCTTGTTACAGATAAAAACTTATCCAAATTAAATCAGCAAGCGGCGCAATCAAACGGAGAGACGTTAATTTATATAAGTATAAGTAATTAGCAAAACAAAGAGAATGCCAGAAATAGGGCCAATGATGCGGGCGCTCGAGCTGCAGCGGCTGATCGAAGACAAAGTGACGGAGTGGCGCGAGAGGTCGGCCCGGGTCGCCGGCCGCGCCCGCCCCGACGCTTATCAAGACCCACTCAACTTCCACAGGCGCGCTAACAGGCGCAAAAACAGCGCTCAAATAAACAGAATTATCGCAAAGTACTCCAAAACAAATAGGACCGCAGAGCAATCACACGCGACAGTAGAACAAACCCTCACGCCTCCGACGCGCCCAGCACGACATAAGAAGATATTTGCCAAACTAAAATCATCCAAAAGTGAAGATAATTTGGTAAGCGTCGGCACCATGGAGGTTCACAATGAACCTAAACCAGATATCAAACCGCAGTCTAGGTTTAATATAAATAAATACAACGCGAAGAGTTGCGAAGATATCACTGCGTTTGTTGACTTCGAACACGCGATGAAGAGTAAGAATTTTCAAGAGAATAGTATAATAAATTCGAAGACGGTCTCAGACACGAGACCGAAGCTGCATAGCATATGCGAAGACGTTTTCGATTTGTCTGACTTTAAAGATAGCGGTGTGCAGTTGAGAGATAAAACATTTGTTACTTCGACTCCTTTGTCTAATAGACGGACATGTCCCCCTTGTGATACAGTGTCGATGATCAGTTTCGAAAAGTGTAGTAAATATTCGTTTAGTGATGGTGATAAACTGAAAAAAGGTAGTTCTGAACCAGACATGTTAAGTGACTCCTGTTTAAATTCTAGTGAACAAACAAGTGACGCGAAAAGTTTGGACGGCAAGAAGAGATGGAAGATGCTCAAACCACATTTTCGGAGAGGAACATTTGACTGTATACTGCGATGGCGTGGGAAAAAACCGCAGCAAAATACGACCAAGTAAGTGATTCATTTTTTGGACATGTTGACGTTACATGCGTTGTTTATTTCCACTATTAATCATGCTATAAATAAGATGTTCGACGTTAAATCAACATTTGATCTATAAAATTTTATGTTTAATGTTCTGTAGAAAATTTAGATTTACATTGTTCCAGATAATACAAACTACATAACTATTCAAACTTTCGTTAGACATTATAATAAACTTATATAAAAACGGCTAAAACACTCACGTAAGGGCCTCCGATGGGCTCGAAACTAGTCGGTCCCGCCACCTGATGAATATACATGAGTGTTTTAGCCGTTTTTATATAAGTTCAACTACATAACTGTATTAAACATTAGTCGCGACTCTAGATGATTGAATCTAAAATATTAATGCAAATAAGAAGAAGTGGTTACTGCGATAAGTTTTGTACTTAACCTACTTAAAATGTAAACAAGGCACAGTTTCATACCATCACTGGCTAGATATAACCTTAAAACAACTGAAAAAAAATCTACGGAAGAATAGTGGAGCAATCCAGTTCGTTTAAATTACTTATACGATAAAGTTTTCAACATGACACCATAATTACAACATTAATAGAAACTGATATAACTAATATCGGTTTCTAGAACTCTTAGCGGAAGCTTTTCAAGTACATTTAATAGTGTGATTAGCATTTCTCGATGATAAAATTGCGCCTTGTTATCGGGACTGGCAATTAATAGGTAACGTTGATTTGCTATTTATTATGAAGAATAAAACCGTTAAAACGCTATTAAACGAAGTAATAATTTTTAATCTAAAATTTATAAAAAAAGTTTTATCTTTACGAAACTGGTTTTAGTTACTTTTAATGTTTTAAAAAAAAGTAAAAACAGATATAAAAATTACTTTTTAAGCAAGTGCTAAGGTTGTGAAAACTCATTGTAATCTTGTATACATTGTTAATCAGTTCGAATATATTTTAGAGGGCATCAGGGCAGTAGGTCAGCGGGCCCTTAGCCTTGTCTATAAATTAATAATTCCCTTCACACAGACAGTAATCACAATCCTAAAGCGAATGAATATCAATGAGATATTGAAGGATGAATAAAAATATAACACGAATACAAGGCACTACATAGGATATTTAAAAAGTTTAAACGAAAAGAGTATTTAGTGACCGTTAAATTACTTTTATTGTTCTTGTTTTTACAAACACAATGTGAAGGATGGCAGTATGTTTTAATACAAGTATTTCAATAATCTAAACTCACAGTCAATGTTGTTGTTTCAAAGATTCATGAAGGTTGTTGACAAGAGTACTTGTTGATAAGACATGTCCATTGCGTAAAGAAGCATGCTCATAAAACTATCGACCATATAAATGCTAGATTTAACTTAAATCATTCTCTAATAACTGTTTCTTTTCACTTATTTTTTTTTTTTCACTAGTTATTTTACACTTGCGAAAATGAAAAGGAAAATATCACATACTGGCTGTCGCTTACGACACAGTCCGCGCGAAATTAAAAAAAAATCTTAATAAGTAGCATATGTGTTCTTCCAGACTATGTTCTACAATTATGCCAAATTTCAGCGAGATCCTTTGAGCCGTTTCGGAGATACCTTCAAACAAACATCCATCCATCTAAACATTTGCATTTATAAAATCTGTAATATTTTAATACTTTTTTGAAAAAGTTGAGACCAAAATACGTATGTTTTATGAATATTTTTTTGAGTGGAAACCCACCGTCATTAAGTTGAACCTCTTAGTTCAGTTTTATAATTACTATTCTACGATCTTTTCCTGCTAGACAATTGTTTTGTATCTAGATATAGTTGCTATGAGCACTACACGACCTTGAGATCGTGCACGCAATACATAACCGTGTATTTACGCAAAACACCGCACCTGACCGTCATTGTTATACGCGACCGTACACTACTTGAAGTACGTTACTATAATGGCTTTATAATAGCAATTGCGCTGATAAAAATATAACATCTATGCAAAAGAGTCAGGAATTATTTCTGCGGTACACATTATATACATTTAATCGCATTATATTTTGCTTGACAATTTCCAGATCTTATATACAACTTTCAAATTTCCTATGGTACACCCATTATAAATTTCATCCTTTCTCATTACATCACATATTCATCTTTATATACGCCTCTCATCCACATTTATTTATATATTTATAAAGAAACTGTACTATGCACAATTTAATTGCAGCGACCAAACTGCTTAGCAGTTGATGCAACAGACACTCATTTTTATTTAACTTAAGTTTCTAATATACATTTAATATTAAAAAGTTAGGTTTGTTTAGTTTGTAAGAAGTATTTTTTTTTATTTTTTTTTTAAAACATTTCTTGGTGTCTCATTTCTAATGATCCAATCTCCATCCAAAACGTTGGTTCAACACTAACATCTATGTATTAGGTTTTACGATAAACAGGAAAGCATACTCCTATCTTTGATCTATATTTAATATATAATTGCTTTATAACCTTCGTAACAAATAACTAAATTAAATTGCTACGTCACTCGTATTATGATGCGGCATTTAAGGAAAACAAAAGACACACTTAAAATAATAATACTTTAAACATTAACTAAGGGAATTTGTATGTATTATACCATTAAATAATAGACTCGGTGGCTCAGTGATTAAGCCCTTGACTTATAATCTGCAGGTCCTGGATTCAAATCTCGCCATCAACCAATGTGTTTTTCGATTTACATATGTATATACATTTATCAAACTTTCTTACGGTGAAGGCAAACATCGTGATGCAACTTGCATCTGCGAAGAAATTCAAATATATGTGTTATGTCAACCAACCCGCATTGGACCAGCGTGGTTGACTATGGTCTAGTCACACCTTACTTAGGGTAGGCTCCGAACCACTCAGTGGGGAGGTATAGTGAGCTGATGATGTGCAATTAATTCAATTAAATTTAAAGGCATTAAAAGAATGCATTAAATCTTGTGGGGAAATACTTCGCGACTGTACTTATATGGATTACGAATATTTACAGAAGCATTTTAAGTAATTGACAATTATTCGTAACTTTATTACTTTCATTTATATTGCTGTTCCGTTTTACGGACTATATTTTATCAATATATTTTATATTTCATGCTCTAAAGCTGATTGGAACTGAAATAAATTCTATAAGTTTGGCAGTGACAATGAGTTCTAACCGAGGATTTCTGACATCTAAATCTCTGTATAAAACATATTGTCATCTTTAAAACAGAGATGGCAACATGTTTTTTAACGGAGATTTTGGACTCGGAAATCAACGTTAAGGTAGACTGAGGCTTGTTTATGGTGGGCCGCGGACGAGAGTGGTCCCGTCCCGATGGCTTGGAGGAACAGAGGGGTTTAGTGGGTATGCCTCCGTTATGGAGGAGAATCCCACATAACTACCGCGTCCCCCCCGGGGCGCGGAGTTTGCATAAAGCATTCCCCTCTGAAAAAAAAAGGCTTGTTTATGGTAGTTATATAAAAAGTACCCGAAAGGTTAATCCCTAGACCTCAGATCGTGTGCGTCATTGCGTAAGAGTATTAATAGTATTATTATTTACCATACTTTTAATTATAAATGAGATCACTAATATGAACATAGTAGCAGTAATCTTTACGTGAGTAACAAGCATGTTGCTGATATGAAAAAATCTATATATATATATAATAAAGTCGTGTTAGTTACAATATTTATAATTCAAGAACGGCTTTACCGATATTGTTGAAAATTGGTGAGTAGGTAGCTTAGAGCCAGGAGACGGACATAGGATAGTAATCATTCATTTTTTTTATTTTTAGTTTTTTTTTTAATATCCACGCGGACGGAGTCGCGGGCGACAGCTAGTTTATTATGTTTAACAAATAATCCTTACCGTACTAAAGTGGAAGTTGATTTTCAATATGTTATTCTTTTCACAAAGATATTTAAAAGTAACGTAAATAGTTTTTTATTTTATTGAAAAACAATAAATAGATTGTATAAAAAACAATTCGGTTGCAACGCATCGCATTTTGCTTTTCAATTATAATATATGGAGACGTAAGAGAGATAATATTTGGACGGATGTAAAAGTTGGGAACATCATTAAACCTCGAATCGACAATTTTTGCGGTTTTTCAATGTTTCATAGTACAGTAAATATACGATTTTCCTTATTTAGGAATCTTTACTTTGTGTAATCGTTTTTAATGACCATTAACTTTTCAATTAAATTTAAAATACATTTTCTGAAACAATGAAACAGTCTACGTGTTTTAAATAGAAGTGAATACTTTGAATTATAAAATATTGTATTATATATTTTTGATTTTGCTTACAGTTTTTCATGAAAAAAAATCAAATTATTTTTGTGAAATTACTTAAATTTAGTAATTTTTATTTCAATATAATCAGCTCTTGACATATTAAGATATAAACTGCAAAGTACAAATAAGATTTGAACTCGGCCTTCGACGTTTGCCAAAGCATGAGTACAATAACTGTTTAACATAACAATAACTCACGCCTCGCATAGAATAAAAATTCGAAATCAGACTTATATATTTTTGTTACTAATTTTAGACATTACTAGTTAGAATCCTTTAGCGCAAATATCGTGCTTTCGTTACAAAGTCCAGTGTCAGAATGGTAAGGGGACATAAACGTCGACGTTTTAATAACGCTAGTGTTGAGTCAATACACTAGCTCATTTCCGGACTTAAACACTAAATAAATACTTCTAAATTCCAAAAAGTCCTTTGCCTTTGGGAAAGAATGCGACTCAAATGATACACCACTCACCCATTCAGATCGAGCAAATCTTTGACTGTTTTTATAATAACGGTTTAATAATGATCTCGGTGAACAGGTACTTAATCCGTTAAAGTACTTAGTACAAGTGAAATCTAACATTTGCCCGAATTAACTGTATCCGTTCTCGCTAGTATATACAATTATATACCACTTTAAAATCATGCGATGTATTAAAATATTTATAAATAT